TCGCAAATGGATTCTGCGGCTCTGCCTGCCTTTTCTTGACATGGGCTTACCTCCTGCCCCCCCCCCCGCCGCCCCACAGTTTGGGTACCTCCTGAAACTTTCCCCGGCGGCCAGCTAAAGGCCACTGTGTCTACAGGCGGTCTTCTCCCTCCTCCTCTAATTCCCTTTCCCAGCCAGTGGCTCCCCACCAACCCCAGAGGGTCCGCTCTCTGCCCCTCCCCCCGTTCTCCTGGCCGAGTGGGCAGAAACGGTAAACAAAGGGACGCAGGGACCCCCGAGCCGGGGACCCTGGCCCTGCTCAGTCCCCGGGGGTGTGGAAACACATCTCTCTCATCAACCTGACAGGACCTTACGGCAGGCAGGGGACTGAGGGTGGGGAAGGCGCTACGAGGTTTCCAAACGGCATTCGTTAGAGGGAGGGAGGGCTCTCCCGAGGGGTCAGTGCCTCGGGGCCATTCTGGGAGGGGGAAAACGCTTTTCCAGATATTGTCTCCTCAGGGAGAGAGTAACAATTAAAACCTGTGATCAGCTTCTCTCGGTCTCCTCCCGCCCCTGTGCACCTCTGTTAAGAAGCAGAAGAGAGCAGGCCGTGGCGCAAATGCCACACGGAGGAGCTCAGGGCTGGTGGGCCGTCCATACCCAGCGGCTCCAGCCAAATTAATAAACATGCCGCCCATTTTAAATTGGCTACAAATGACGCTAATGTTTTCCGACAGAATTAGGGTGGCTGAAACCGTATGTAATGAGACAGAAAATTATGGTAAAGATGACAACTGGATGGGCATTTCCAACCACACTTATGGACGATTAAAACACAAACGAGAGCAAAGGAGGGGGAGAGAGAAAAATCGAGACAAGGGAGACAACTGCCAGGCTTGGAAACACACTGTAACCTGGGCCTCGGGTCGCCTGGGTTCCCTCTGCAGTTCGGGGGCCTGCAAGCTCTGCCAGCCGCTTTCCTAATTTCCTTGCAAGGTTCCAGGCGAGCTCTGAATTCGTTAGAGGGAGGGCCGGTGCAGGGAACAGATACCCAGGCTGGATGCTTGGCCAGCTGCCCCATCCTCCTGCCTGCTGCTGCCCACCTTACCTCTCCTGGCTGCCTCACAGGCCAAGGCAAGGACATTGGCGCTGAGGCCAGTGGGGCAGGTCTTCCGAGACTGAAATAAGTAGCTAGGACGTGCGGCCAGCTACAGACATTCAGAACCAGCCTGGGGCAGGCCCGAAGGGGGCACCTCGCATGCTCTACCAGCCTGAGTGTCAGCTGCCCAGATGTCTCCATTTGAGAAGGTGGGGCCTGATGGACGTGGGGACAAAGTGGGGGAAATTCCAACCACTCGGATTTGAGAGTGAAAGTAGCACATGTTAAGATACTTATGCAAACCTCTCTGAACTCCAGCTGCTCCTGGGGGAGTGGCTGATCCCTGCCCCTGCCTGAGAGCCCCCAAGTGACCACTCCAGGCCCTCTGAGTCCCTTCTTTTCTCCCAAGGCCAGGAGGAAAGATTGGTGCTCGGGTCACAAACCCGGATGGCCAGGCGGCTTTGCTCCCCCACACAGCCTCCCCTTACCTGCCGGTTCTGGTACCAGGTCTTGACCTGGGTGTCAGTGAGGTTGAGCGAAGCTGCCAGGTCCATGCGGTCCTGCACGCTCAGGTACTTCTGCCGCTCAAAGCTACGCTCCAGTTGGTTGAGTTGGTGGTCAGAAAAAGCCGTCCTGGCTTTGCGAGGCTTTTTGGCTCTCACGGGGGGACTCTCTCGGCTACTCGTAATCTCCCGGTCTCCTTCCTCCTTTGTTCCTATGATAGAAACCCAGACACAGTTTAGTAAAGTAACCTGGAATAGGGAAGGGCGGAGTGTCCTTCTGGCACATACTTCCAC